AAGAGAAGTCAAATGTCTTGGAAGCATGCCATATAAGTTCAACATATTTATCTGCATCCTGTTTGCTCTATCTTGATAATCAATCCGTGCAAAATGAATGGAATCAAATGCCAAATATTGAAAAAAAAAAAAAATAATAAATAAATGAAAGGTGGAGCATGAAAAATATTTAATATATAAACGTTCAAAATAAACCTAAAAACATAAAGAATTCGTTTTCGCATTATCTCATTGGTTTGTAGTGCTAGACCAAACTTTGGCCATAGAGAACTTCTGATACTTTATGGAATTAAATTTGAGATGCCTTTGTCATTTTCAAAATGAATATGGAAATTATGATTTTCTCAAACCTTTCAGGGTTGTTTTTATAGTCATTTTAGGAAATTAATGGATTTAGATAACTGTTCATACCTTGAGAAGATTACCCAGCGAAACGGTTTCATCAATGTCAGGCACAAGATCCTGAGACGACAAAACAAATATTGATAAATAATACACAAATATGTGATTTAAACAAATCAATTTTAGCTGAAATACAAATATAAATCCTCATACATTGATTTGATTGCATCAACCAGATACTTGAGATCTGAGGGACCCCATACATCGATCTTTAGAATAGTTAAGAAGAACATTATGATTTCATAAATTAATGTTCAAATCTTAATGATGTATTTTTATGAGACGCGCTGAATCAAACCAACACTTACAGAAACTCCTACACCTCTTATGCCAGCAAGAGTCAACAATAGACCTGCAAGCAAAAATTCTTCAACTTTAGCGGCTTATATAATAAATGCCTCGCATTTATCTACTATACAAAAATGTAGTGATAAAATCATGCTTATGCAATATGATGAGAAATATAATGCTAAGTTAATTAAATAGTTTAATCGCAAACCTAGAAGTTCACCAACAGTAGTTTAATGGCAAACTGGAAGTCCACCAGCAGGATTTGGAAGAAATCCAAGCATATTTTCAAAGAACAAAATTTAATGTTACCCCTTGGAAAGTAAAAGAAAACTTCACCTTACCCCTCGAGAAAGAACACAACAGGAGTCTCCAGCATTTGCACAAGAAGTTGATTATTTCGGACCATTGTAATGCAATGTGTGTATCCACCAGATGGTGCATTATAATCAAAGAGAGCTTCCTACATTCATAAAGATATTTAGTAGGAATTAATGTGAGATAAAAAGGCAGCTAAAAGAAAATTACAACACATATAAACAATCACACATAACCTGGGTTTCAGCAGCATTATTTCCAGGAAAAAATGAGAATTCCGACCGTTAGGCCGCCATTGTTGACTTCATTGTTTTACAGTGGGCCCCATATTTTTGAATGTAACGGTCCGAATTTGTTTC